GTGGTCTTTGAGGGAAGGAATATCTGCTGACACAGGGTAAATAGGCTAAATAGGTCTAAGATTGGCTAGTTTGAATAATTTCATTGCCCCTAGTTGTCTGATACTGGCCCTTCGTGATTAGGGCTGTGGGTATAGTGGCCCTGAGCTGTAAAAGCCAGTAACGAAGGTGGTTGGGGGTATGGGCTCTGGACTGGTTGGTTTGCATATGAAAGTTATTTTCAGAGTCCTCTGCTATCTCACAGGGAAATATATTCAATATCTTGTAATAAACTATAATGCAAAAGAATCTGAAAAAAGTGTATATATATGTATATTCATATATGTGTGTGCGTATATATATATATATATATATATATATATATATATAAAATCTGAATCACTTTGGTGTGCACCTGCAACTAACACAATATTGTAAATCAGCTATATTTCAATAAATAAACAAACAAACAAGCAAAGCCTCATGCTGTCTCTAGGAATCAGCGAATCTTGGGAGAGGCATCCTTCTCTTTACAAGCAAGGCCCCAAGATGCCAAAGCTTCAATACAGAGACTAGAAAATGTGACTCATACAATATTTTCTTCCAAATTGAGTTCAGATTATATATATTTCAGCAGGTTGCCTTTTTCACATAGATATGAACATCTTTTCATGACAGAGGCTATTGATCTACATTTTAAAAAGTGACTACATAGTATTCTGTATAAATGTATGACAACTTATTTAACCATTCTATAATTTATGAACTTTTAAGTTTTTTCCAGGTTTTCATGATCATGAACAATATGGTAGTGAAAACCCTTGGCACTTTTTGTGTGGGTGTATAGTTTTATAAGATACTTTAAAATGGAATTTCTGGACCAAAGGGTTTACATATCACAAATTTGTAACTTAATAGATTAATTACATAATTTAATCTCAGTTAACATTTAATCTAGTTTAATTCCACAAAAGTGAAACAACATTTACATGCCCACCAGTGGTGTATGGAGAGGGCCTTTTTTCTCATACTCTCAATAAGACAGGATTTTATGTCTTTTAACTTTTGGTCAGTTTGGGGGAAAATGTTAGGTATCATCCACTAACAAAAAGCGAGCCAATATGAAAATATCAGACAAAAGAGAATTCAAGGCAAAAAGGATTTAAAACAGCAGGGGGGTATTTTACTTTGGTAAGTCCAAGAAAATAGCCATGAACCTTCATGAATTATATTACCAATGTCAATGTCATATGGTTCAATCTAATATTCAGTTACCTAGCTTTAAAACATATAATGCAAAGATTCAGAAATACAAGGATAAATTGCCAAACCTGTACTTATCATAGAAATCTGAAAAATACTTTTTTTCCATAGGTGGGCAGATCAGAAAGAATAAATAAGGATAAAGAGGATTTGAATAACATAATTAACAAGCTTGACCTACTAACTACATGTAAGGAAACAGATTATAAGTTTCTTTGTAAGTTCCCACAGAATATTTAGTACTTACCAGCACACACATGAACATCTTAGATTTATTGAAAAAGTACGTTTTCTGGGGATATATTAAAATATTAATGGTTTAGGTTACAACCTCAAGAAAAAGTGTCCATATTTGGAATAAGCAAGAAAAGGCAGGATGTTTCAATCAAGTTTTGCAAACAGAGAAAAGCCAGCCACAAGGGAGAACACCTCGGCCCCTGCGTGGCTCAGGCGGGGTCCCTCGAGCTCTGGGGCCCCCAGGCCCATCTGTCTTGTCAGCAGTCTTCTGTTTCTGGGTTAAGGAGCTCAGCCTTCTCAGATGTGGCTTGAGAAACACAGCCTCCTAATGTCATAATCCAGGAGAGTAAGAAGACTTAGAAGTGGGGATGGGGCAGGAGTGAGCAGCAGAGAGACAGTCTTTAGGGCTTGGGCGTGGGCGTGAGGGAGACACCCAGCTGAGCAATCTCCCCCTTCAAATCCTCATCCCAGGCCTGATCTGACTGAGGTCAAGGGCTGCCTACTGCCAGGAGGCGGGGAGCCCTGAGGGCTTGGCCAGGGCTGGGGATATCACCACTGCTGCTGTGAGGAGGTGTGCAGGACTAGGCCTGCACCTTATCTATCAGACTCCAGACTTGGAAGAAATCAGACCAGCCTGGGATCGCTCAGCCAACTCTGAAGACACGATGAGGTTCACACCTGTGTGTTAAAGAGGTTTCTGCCTCGTTGTGGCTCATAGTGAAAAATTCCAAAGAAGGTAAGAGCTTTCTTTACAGCCTAGCATACAGAATTGAGTCAGACCATGAGGACAACAAACTTATGTTTCACATGGGAAATAGATACAGGTTTGGCCTGGGCACAAAGGTCACAGAAAGCCTCTTTGTTATCTCATCCACTCACCCAGGGAGGATCTTTGCTGTGTATGTTTTGAAGTCTTCAAGTCCTGGATGATGAATCTTCCATTTCTTGGATTCACTTAGTGGGCACATAATTACCTACATTAAAAAAAAAAGATAATGTCAGGTACAGCTGATACTAAGTCAAATCCTGGAAGGACAAGGACTCTCGTCCATGTGGTGGAGATATGCCAGTTAACCTGGGAAGATGGCTCAGCTGGGGCATCACCAGCCAGAGAAGCAGTTAGTCATTACCAAGAGGCGCTGATTCAAGCTTGATATGGCCTCAGAGTTGAAGAAAGGAGGCAAGAGAGATGAGGCTGGAGGTGTAAGCTTTAGGGAAGATGAGTTCTACTTGTGTTATGTGGAGACTGAGGTGCTCCACTGAAAGTTTAATGGGAAGCTGGGTATATGGGGCTGAAGTTTAGGGATAGTCTAGGATGGAGATGTAGATTTAAGAGGTAGGAAGTGATCGTTGAAAATGGGAGAGTTGATTAAGTCATCGAGGAAGTATATTTGGAGTGAGGAGGGCAGACATTTGAGACTAGAATACAAATAAATTCGACATTTAAGGGATGGATAGAGAAAAATGAGCTTAAGAAAAAGACAATAAATAAAGAGGTAGGAGCAAATACAAGAGACTCTGGCATCATGGAAGCCCAAACGGTAGAATTTAAATCAAGGTGTGACTTATGAGATGGTGGCCTTGCTAATCTGACAACTTAAAGACTGAAAATATGAAGCCATGGGAGACATCAGCATGAAAAGTTTTGATCAATCGTGAGAATGAAAAACATGATTTTAAGAGGAATTAAGGAAAAATAAGTGATCTACTCAAGAGAAGTCTGGATGGGGAGAAAAGAGAGGTTAGGTTATAGTTTGAGGTCAAAGGATGATGATGATGATGAATTTCTTTGAGAATAGACTTCAGTATGTTTTTAGCCTGAAAAGGAAAAGCTAGTAGAAAGGTTGAAAACAGGATAGATACGAGATGACACTTTGAGGGGATTCTCAAGGGAGGAGCATCTCATGCACTGAGACTGGGGAGGGAGGGGGAGGATGCAGTCACATGACAGCTTTACATTTTTTTTAAATGACATGGGAGGCAAGGTTCATAGATAATTTGGTCTACCTGCACTAATGTTCTGCCCAAATCTCCTATTGCAGACTCCCACTTCCTTTTGTCAGCAAACAGTTCACTCTCTTTTGGACCTACTATCTGTGTCCTGCAGAAATATCGTACTTACGCCATGGGAAGCGGCAGCTCCACCCAACATCATTTTGCTTTCCAGAATGCAGAGAAAGGTATGTGCTTCCCACCTCCAGAATAACTGTGGGTACCCCAAAGTCCACATTGCATAGGGAGGGGCATCTCAGGGTAGGCAGGAAATCATTACATTTCTCCTGAGGCTGACTCTTGAATATCAGCTTCTCCTCCTTGTGACATGACCACCAGAAAGCTCAGCTGAATATCTTAGGACTGGGTGAACTATATTTAACAGAATTAAAATTTCCTAAAGGAGTCAGTGTTTTCCATTGGGATTTATCCCAAAGTACACATATACAAATGAATGAATAGGACTGGGCACAAAGGGGATGAAAGAGCACTCCAGGTGTAGAGGCCACAAAGGTCATGAAGAGAGATGTATTCAAGGGACTGAATGGTCTGAAGTGAATGAGCTGTAGGATGGCATGACACGGGGCCGCTGAGGTTTGCAGAGCCCAGGCCACTCAGGAGCTTGTAGGATTTTCAACTTTATCCTAAAGGCATGAAGAATGATGGAAGAATTCAAAATAGATAGTTCCATATAAAAGACCTAAGATTTGCATAGAAAAAGTCCCTCCTGGCTTCCATGAAGAAAAGATTAGGGGAAGGGGTCATCTAAGCAAGAGACGATGATGCCCTGGCCCAGATGATGATGCCCTGGCCCAGACGATGATTCACCCAGAGAAGAGGGTGAATTCCAATAATATTCAGGGAGTGGAATTGACAGGATCCACCTGATGACATGTAAGAGGGTAGGGGGAGAAAGATGCATCAAGAATGACCTCCAGGTTTCTAAGTAGCAAAACTGGGCAGATGATAATGCCAATGACTGACTGAAGATAATGGAGAAGAACCAAGTTTGAGTAGAAGGGAGATGATGAGTTTATACACGCTGGGTCTGAGGTGCCCATGAAACATGGAGGTGGAAGTGCTGAGGAGGCAGCTACATACTCAGATCAGGATTTTGGAAGAGATGTTGGCTGGAGATACACACATTTGGAAGGCATCAGAGTATGGGTGATTGTTGAAGCCAGAGGTCACTGAAGTAGCCTAGAGTGAGAGGGGACAGGTCAGAGACCAGGGCCTAGGACACAGCCACAGGGACTTAAGCATCAGGTGGAAAAGGATGAGCCAGTAAGGGAGGCGGAGGAGAGGCAGCCAGAGATGCAGGAGGAAGCAGAGGAAATAGTGACAGCACCTCGTTTATATGAACCTAAGCATCTTTATAATAAGCTCCTGGCTTCCTTGCTTTCTAGTCTGGCAATTAGTCCCAGGCTCACCTTGCATATTTTGGGCTCCAGACCAAGAATAGCTATTTCTCCAGGGTTTGGGAT